AGTAAAAAGAAAAAATAAACAAACCTGTTTATATAGATCATATTCAAATATCTCAATCCATACTTTTTTATTCCTTTGAATACCTGTAATTAATAAATTATATATAATGTTATGTTTATTATAAAATTGAAAATAATTAATATCTTAATATTATTTTTATTTTATTAAAAAAAAACCAATATCACAATACTTACTTTTTTTTATTGTATTGAGTAATTTTATTTAAATCATTTAATTTTGTTAAACATTCTTTTTTAATAAAATATGGTATTAGTATATCTGCACTTTTTAGTTCATTCTGCATCTCTTTATTAATTGTTTTAAATGTTTCACATGTAATTTTTCCATTTTTCAATTTATTTTCTAAATCCAAAATTTTATATTGCATATTTTTACCTGCTATTTTAGCAGTTTTTGCAAGTGATCCTACAATTGCTTTAAGAGTAAAATTTGATACTCCTTTTGAGGAATAATTAAGAAAACAAAAATATTCTAGTTCTGCTGTTTTCAGTATGTGCGTACCATAACATGTTTCTCTAAAAAAATATTCAATTTTATTATATAAAAAAAACATTAAAAAAAAGACACTTTTATAATGTATAATTTTCTAATATTATTTCTTAAAAAATACTTACTTTGATTTCAAGTCTGGGAAATTAATTTCTACAACTCTAATGTCTTTATAAGGAAAAATTTTTCCTGGTATTAATGTTACAGAATCTTCTGCTAATAATTCCATAGCATTTAATACTTTTGTAGTAACTGGAACATTAGCTGTTATAATAGTATTTACAAATTCTTCAATTTCTTTCAATTGTTTAAAAGAAAGTTTTTCTCCAAATGAATTAAACTGACACTTTAAAACATATGGAAAAACAGCAGAATAACGCAAATAAACTGCTTGCATTTTCTGTTGTATTATTGCATGTAATAAATGTGTTGCAGTATGATGTTGCATTGTTTTTATACGAAATTTGGGTTCAATACAAACTAAACAATTATCTCCAATTTTTAATTTATCAATGTCTTTTCTATGAATAGATGAATAAATTCTTTTAGATTTTTTATATTATATTAATAAATATATAAATATATTAATAATATAATATAATTATATTATAATAAATATAAATTAAAATTAAATTAAAATTAAAGCTTACTTTAAATAAACATGTGAAAATTTTCCATAATGTATTACATATCCATTAATTTTCTTCACATTATTTATATCAAAAATCAAATTTTGTATATAAATAAAACCTTTATCTGATATTTGACCATCTTCTAATGAATAACAGACTGTTTTATCCAGTATAATTCCTATTTCATCTTTATTTGATTCTGTATTATAATTTGCAATGTTCTCATTAATTATTGAACATATATCATTATTTGTTTCGTTTGTTTTGTTTAATATTACATTATCTACAGCAAACAAATTGTATGTTCTTCTATTATATTTAACAATATTATTAAATCAATAATTTTTACCATTTATAATTACCATTTATAATTAATGCCAGAATTTTACTTTCAATTTTAGGAAACTCATAACTATTTCCATTAAGAACATATTTATATTTAAAACTGTCATCAGTTTTAGGTACATAACTTTTTTCAAGTATTTCTAATGATTTTTTAATATTTATTAAATTACTCTTTTCAAGACCAATTCTTGATCGATTCTTCATATTTTCTAATTCTTTATAAAAAGCTACTTCATCAAAATATAAACATTCAATTTCTGCTAATTCTTTTATTGTTTCTATATTTAATCCATATGTATCATACAGTTTGAAGGAGACACTTCCTGGTAATACTTTAGTTATTTTTCTATAAAATAATATTAAATTTCTATAAAACAATATTAAACAATATATAATTTGTAAAATTGTATTTAAAAAAATTGCTTTTTTAAATTTTCAAATAATTAAATTTATTTAATAATAACAAAATTATTCAAAAGATTTTCTTATCCCAGTTGAACCATTTTGCATTGTATATGATATTTATTTAGTAATTTTAATTAAAAATAGCTAATAAAAATTTAATTTATATAACTACAATATTATTAATAAAAATTCATAAAATCAAAACTTTATAAAAAAAAATTTCCTTAATTATTTAATTAATTAAATTATTTCAAATATATTGAATTATCAATTAAATCCAAATATATTGAAACTTAAATAAAAATATAATAAAAACATAAGCCAAAAATCAAATTCTTTTGATTTAATACTTTGTTTTTGATATTCACATATTTGTTTAAATTCATTATAATTTATTATAATTAATACATTTTATTATAATTAATTATAATTTATTATAATTAAAGCCAAAAAGATAGATAATAATCATAATATTTAATAAAAAAAAAATTCTAATTGTGTACAAAATTTAAAAGAAAAAATAGTCTAGTTTAGTCTAGTTTAGTCTAATAATTTAATCTAAGTTTCGTGATTTAGTCTAATAATATAAAAAAATAATTTTTTTATTTGATATAAATTCTGCATATTTATAAATTATAAACATACATACAAATCATTATGTATGTTTTGAAGATATTTATATCCATTTTTAAGACCAGGAGATAACCATTCAGTAATTGAGTTCAATTGAGGATATGTTTTAATAAGTTGTATCCATTGTTTACCAGAAGTGGATTTTAATCTTCTATATAATTCTTCTTCATGTTCTATTATTTTTTGTATCTAATTTCAATTATATTATATAATAAGATATATGCAAGAAAATAAATTTTAAATTTATTAATATAATAATATAAATATCCATACTATATTTTGTTATATAATACCTTTTTTATATTGTTTTGCAATTCTGGATAAATATTACCTAAAGTTTCTACTACAATATAAGATAATTCAGAAAGTATTCTCTCTTTTTTAAATATTTCTTCACTTATATCAATTGATTTTCTTATTATTTTTCTAAGTTTATTGCTGAAATTACAATATATCATCATTATGTATATAAATAATATGTTACTTATAACTACAGAATAATTTTACCTTTGTTCTGGTATTACTCCATCTGCTAATGATATAGTAATCATTCTGCTGTGATCTGCCAAAATTCTATATCCACTATCAAGAGTATTGACATTACAAAATGTGCCTTTATATTCTGGTGCTTTTGTGTATTTTTGAATAGCTTTAAAAAATGGTTGGAAAATATCTGTATCATAATTGGATTGTTTGCCTTGTAATACTGCAACTAATCTTTCAAATCCCATGCCTGTATCAATATAATGTTTTGATAGAGGTATTATTGCACCACTTGGCAATCTAATATAAAATTAAAAAAAAAAAAAGAAAATTCATATTTAAAATATTAAATATTTATTCTATACAAAATAATATATTAATATAAATATCCATATATTTATTTTAAAATATAAAAATAAAAATTTTTTTAAATTAACATACCGTTCATATTGTATAAAAACTATATTCCATAATTCTGTGAGATCTCTGTATCCTTTATTAATTTGCATACATCGATTTTTCAATTGTTTTGTATGATCTACATGTATTTCAGTACATGGTCCACATGGTCCTGATATACCCATTTCCCAAAAATTCTCTTGTAATCCAAATGGTAAAATTTTGTCTTTTTTAACTCCAATATTTAACCAAATTTCTTTACATTCTAAATCAGGCTTTAACTCTAATTTTTCATCTCCATTAAAATATGTTACATACAAAAATTCCTCCTTAATACCATAATGTTTTGTTAATAAATCCCAAGCATAACGACAAGCTTCTTCCTATATAAAAATATAAATCTATATTTATTATTATAGTTTAAATTAAAAACTAAAAATAATAAAATATGTTAAAATATTTTTAAAAACATACTTTAAAATAACTTCCAAAAGACCAATTTCCTAACATTTCAAAAAATGTATGGTGATAACTATCATTTCCAACTATATTTAAATCATTATGTTTTCCACTAATTCTTATACATTTTTGGGAATTTGTAACTTTCGTCACAGGTGAATTATAATAATCTAAAAAAATCCCTTTAAACTAAAAAAAAAATTAATAAAATCTATATAAATAAAATCATGAAAATATATAGTTAAAATTTTTCATTCATAAGAATAATATAATTAATATATTACAATAATATTAATTTTTCAGTGAATATTTATAAAAAATATTATTTTGTGATTATAAAACATACTTGATTCATGCCAGCATTAACAAATGCAACTGTATGATCATTAAATGAAATAACAGGACTTGATCGAATAAAAGTATGCTCCAAATCTTTTTTAAAATAATCCAAAAATTCATTTCTAATTAAATTTGCACTTTTTTGTATTGTAAATGAAGAATTATACACACGTGTCAACAAAATACAATTCATATTATTTTTTATGTCAAATTAATTAAAATTAATCTATTAATTTAAATAAATTTAATTTAATATTATTAAATATTTATTTAATGCAATTATATAAAATATTTTTCAAAATTTTATTTTTTAAATTAATTATTTTATAAATATGAATTAATTTTAATTTTTCAGAATTTTATTTAAAAAATTTATTTCAACTCATAACGTATAATTAATTACAAAAATTTTTTGTAATTATTCTATAAAATAAATATTTGAAATTTTTGAAGAGAATAACTTATTTAAATCAACTAAATTTTACAATATAATTTTATATTATATAATTTTTAAATTTTATTTTTATTTAGTAGAATAATAAATTAGAAGAATCGTCTTATGAACACATATAAATTCTTTACATATTAATTTGTTTTATAATTCAATTTTATTTTATTAGCATAAATTTTATTTATGCTAGATATTAAATTACAAGATATATTTTTAAATATTATTAAATATTTACAATGTTTCCAAAAAGAATATTCATAAAAATCTGCCTAAATAATCTAGTGACTTTATCGTTAAATGAATTAAAGGTGGCAGTATGTAACACAAAACTTATTGCTTGCCGTCAAAAGTATTCAAGGTGGAAATCGTTGACGCCATTTCGTATCTCGTTTCGCTGATAGCGTCACGAAAGTTTTATCCCTTTTTACTTTAATTTAATTTCGCCAAAACGTCGCAGCCACATGTAAGTATTAATGTAATATTATAATAAAATATTTGATCATTAAAAGTATCTTTGAGGAATTTGCGACTTAATGGAGAGGAGATTCGCATATCGTCAGTTACTAGGGCACGCCAAGGGCCGGTTGTTTTTAGATATCTTTTTTTCTTCGTTGTAAGGTCGTATTTCAATTCTATGTTTTTAAAATTCAATTTGTAATACATTTATTTGTATTAATTCATTAGAATAATTATGTTTGATTAAAAAAGTAGTTGACTATTTTTTTTTTTATCGATAAAATCTGATAACTTCTATGGCCTTGAACAATATATGTATAAGCGTCTTTTATACATTTACCGGAAAGGAATGCAACTTCTCAAATTTTATTTAATTTCTTTTTTTCAGCTATTTGAAGTTTACAAAATTTAGTAAATCAACTTTTTTCCTCATTTTATTAGAAAAAAATATAAAATTGTTTTATTTGTATTTTAAGATTTGTTCTCAGATAATAAAAAACTGTCTAATAAGGATCATGTAAGTTTTATGCATTTTTTTAATATTCTTGAAATGTAGTTTCTTCATTTCAGGAAATTTCAAGGAAATGTTAATGCTTACATGTAACTATTTCTTCAAAAGGTATTAATTTTTAAAGCATACCTACATATGGACTTATACATATTTACAATTTCTTTTTTTTATTTTCTATTTTCTATGATTAATATTAATATTAAGTTTAAATAAAAAATAAATATTAAAAAAAATATGCATATAATTTATGAAATGTATCTAAAAAATTAATTATAAATATAAAATATAAAGTTTTAATATTAAATTATATTTGTTTCATAAAAATTATTAATGAGATTTAGAATTTTTGTATAGATATATCTATTAAAAATATTACTATCATATTTCATTAATATTTCAATTTCGTATATATTTTGCATTTTTTATAAAGATTTATAATTATACATGATATATCATTATATTGATATTTAAAGTAATTCAAAATATTGTTTTTTTTTTTTTTTTTTATTATAAAGTATAAAAATAATATCATTAGAATATCTCTATTCCTTAGACAAAAAGATATATGTATATATTTTTCAATAATATATTTGTAATTGTTTAATATAATAGATTGCATATAAATATTTCAAGAATATGAAAATTATTTATAAATTCACAATATATTATTATATATATATAATTTTTAATTTTCACAAATATAAATATATAT